TTTTTTGAAGGGGGTATTTTAATAAGGGAGTACTATGGTTTGCGCTATATCCGGGTACTATTCTATACTCACAAATCTGAACCTATGAAATGTACCCGGGTCTTTTCCATGGGGGTATTTTAGCAGGGGGGTACTGTAGTCAGCGCCGTACGGTATATGCAAAAAAAAGAAAGAGAATGTAGAACACTTGATAAGCTGCGAAATCTCTCTAAACCTTCTTCGCGAATTAAACGAGCAAGTTGTAGAAGCAACCTTACTGGAATTAAAAAAAGTAGAAAGCACAGAGACAACAAAAGAAGAAGTTTTAATAATGCTAAAAAAGGAATCCCAAACTGAAGAGTCATGTAGAAGAGAAAGATAGATCAAAGATCTAATCACAAAAGAAGACTTCGACGAGTTGAGACCTCTTTTTAACTTAAACAATCAGGCAAAGAGCTTTCTAGATAGACTTTGGAAGAATTAAATGAAGGAAGTTTACGAGAGAATATGGGTTGCAAGATGCAAACTAGTACAAGAATAAGAGAAAGAAAATAGAATTACACCAAAAGACAAAAAAAGATCGTACAGAAAGACAAGAAAGGAAAAAAAGAAGAAGAAATTACTAGATAAACATATTAGGAAAAAAGAAAAAGACAAGAATGAAGAAGAAGATAAAAGATGGAGTTTAATTTTAGAGATAACTAAAAAAGAGGTTTTAAGGTGGATAGAAAAAAGACAACAGGCAGATTGATAGAAAATTAATATATAGTCTTGACGGGTAATAAGATCAAGCTAGTGATGTATTATTGAAGCCAATTGCAGAATAAGATAATACAGAGGCGAATCTTACTATAGCAAGCAACCGGGTGAGTCTTCACTTGTAATTTAGGTACTATAAAGTATAACTTTGTAGAAAATTTTAATAGTTTAGATAATTATTACAAAGCCTAATAAAGTGAAGGCAAGACTGCCGAATTTAAAAAAAAATATATATATATATATATATAATATGTTTAGTAGATTAAAAAATAAGATTATGAAGTTTAATATTAATAAAAAAGGAACTGTGTGACTGCAGAAATATACATCATCAGTTCAAAATAACTCTGAACAATCTTTCATTCTCATTGTTATAACAAATCTTATGAAATGTTGTTATGAGTTATAAGAAGCAGGAGAATTGGTATATATGGATACAACAGCTGGGCTTGATGTTTTAAATACTTCTCTTACAATTCTTTCTACAAGTACACCTGCTGGTGGTCTACCGCTTGCCACAATTCTTACATCTGATGAAATGACAGTTACTTTTACAAAGACACTAAATATAGTAAAAAATATAGTTCAATTAGTGGCATTTGGTAAACAGGGTCCTATTATTGAACCACATGTGGTCATGATAAATAATTGTAGGGCAGAAAGAATAGCACTACACAATGCCTTGACAATGCAACTTTGCTTCTTTGTGTCTTTCATTTTTTGCAGGCAATATGGAGGTGGCTCTGGAATAGTACACATAAAATTCACAATAGTATTCATACTATTCTAATTAAACATATAAAGAAAATAGTTTTTTTAAAAACTGAGGTTGCACTTAATAAAGCATACTCAGATTTAATTAATAGCAGTGCTTACCAAAAGTACCTAAATTTTCAAAATTATTTCAAAATTTCTTGGGAATATTACTATAAATAGGTTATTGCATTTTGCTAACAGCTTCCAGTTCATAATAATCTTACCAACAACTTCACTAAAGCTAGAATTAGAATTATGAAAGAAATTATTTTTAAACATGTACAAGCATTCAATGTAATACAAATTTTTCAGTTTATTACCAACACTATAGATCTTTATTATATTCACAGGTGGCCCATAACAAGTTAAATAATTTCATTGCTCTTTGTTTTCAGCTTACTGGGTGGTTGATTGGATTAAAAGATAAAATAAAAGTTGTGAATCCAAATTTACAGATATATAGACATAAGAGTAGTAGAAATCTAAATATATAGTATCTTGTAGATATGAAACTTGGAACCTGTGAATAAAATCAAATGGGTGCTCCATATATACATCAAGCTTCTATTGCTAAACATTAATATATGTGGATTAAACCAATTATCTACAATGTCTGCAGAAAAGCAATATGATTATGCTTACTTAGCTATAGGTGAAAAGTATAAATCTTTAAGTTTTTATGCTAATCTTCACCAAAATAAACTTGAAAAAGAAAAATACATATATAAATTGCTGATAAGAGAAAGAAATTAAAAATTTTTAATTAAAAATATGGATAATGATAGTTCTAATAATGAAAACATATTTGCTATGCCAGAGTCTTCAAATACCATTGATAATAATAATGATTTTAATTATAGAGATATTGTTAATAGCAATGTTGACAGTAATATTGGTGACAATGACAATGATATTGGTGATGATGAAGATATTGGTGATGATAAAGGTATTGGTAACAATGAAGATATTGGTAATGAAGAAGATATTGGTGATAAAAAAAATATTGGTAACGATGAAAATTATATTAGTGATGATGAAGACACCTTTTAATAACAGAAATTTTGGTACAAAAAAAAATTAGTTTTCTAGTGAATTTTAAGACCAATTTTGAGAAGGTTGTTATATCGGTTTATATGAAATCACATGATTTTCATATAGACCGATGAAAATAACCTTGACAAAAAAACATGGGTTGTTATATAGTACCCATGAAATAAAAACTTGGTATCTTAGTTACAAGCTAGCTTGAGAGTGCAACAACTCTACTACTATATTAAGTTATCACACCTGTTTTTAAATTAGTTTATTTCTGTTCTGTAACACTATTTACTACTTTTGTACAGGTCTTTTAATTCTTTTTATTATTTTCAGAAGTTTTATTATATATTCGTGCTATTTATATCAGTTTGCATTTCTCTGTATAACCCAAATATTTCATAGGTGCCTTCAGAATCTTCCAGTATACAAAGTGTATTGGTGTAACTAGAGTTACAAATAATAAAACCTGACTAATTAATAATTTATTACTATAACATAGAAATTTCTATTTGAAAACATCTCTAAGATTTAAACTTTATATTTTAGCTATAAATTGCTTGAGGGTATGACAACTACACCACTACACTAAGCTACCACACTCTTGATTAATATTATTTTTCTAGTATATACAATATTATTGCTATAAACAAATTTACAAATATATTCTATATTTATTTTTTAATTATAACTATTTAAGTACAAAAAAAATTTATATCATTATTAATATCAATATCAAATTCTTCATTTAAGTCTAATCCATATTTTTTTCTAGTTTTACCAAGCTTTCTGAATCAAGTTCTATAGATTTCTCATTCCATGCTCCTGTTAATAACTGTTCATCCAAAAAACATATATATCTTATTTTAAATTTGTCTTTAAATTTGAAGTCATAAATATTCATTTCAGAACTTAAAGATGAACCTTCTAAAAATGCATAATTATAAATAAAAGCATTTCGAATCTGAAGAACACTACGTCTATTATTCTTTTCTGCATTAGAAAATTCAATACTATTTAATTAAATTGATAATAAAATAATTAATAACTACTAAAAATTTATAATAATATTGTTAACAAAAATATAGAAACAAATTACACATACCCCATAAATGATCCCATAAATGAAATAATTATATCTTCTAGTACGATTACAATAAGAAATCCAAAAATAACATTAATTATAGTCAGAGGCCAAAAATTCCAAAAATCAAATATAGTTGAGTCCCAATAAAAGGCTGCCAATATAGAGCTTAATGGATTGGCAAAAGGATTATCCGATTCTTCACTTAATTGAATATATCCAAGGAGAATAAATCTAGAATATGTTAACGAAATTAATATTTTATCAATTTTAAACAATTAATTACTGTAATAGAAAAAAAAATCTTAACAGTGCATGTCCCTAAAAAGAAAATAGTAAATATTAAATATGTAAAATCTAAAAAAAAAATTAGAAAACCAAAGGTTTAAAATACCATTCCAATAATAGTTAAGGCAAAGATAATTAAAAATGATTTAGTCGACATCATTATATTTTTTATCATGTAAAGACATTTGGCAACCCCTAAATAATTAGCATAAACTATTTAGAAAAAAGAAAATCACTGTTCAATTATTATTTAAAATTATTTAAAATGTATCTGTAAAAACACGTAGCAACACAATCTAATGATAGTTATAAAAAACAAATAATAAGTAACAAATAATTAGATTATATCTTAATGATGCTATATCGAAATAAAAATGAACCCACCAATTCATACCAAAGCAAAACAATGCTTATAAAAATGACGAAGATGAATCCTTGATGGCTTGTGGCACTTTTAAAACCGTCTACTACATTATACTCATTAATTGAAATATAAATTACTGTGAAAAAAGGCAAGAGAACAACAAAAATATCCATCCAATTAAAAAAGTCAAGTAAGTATTCCTTCCCGTAAAAAATAAACTGATAAATTTCAATTACAAAATGATAGTATGCTAAGTAATAAAACAATATCATAAGTAATATCATAATGATATGAAAATAACCATAAATCTCTAAATGAGCAACATATGCCCATGAAATAATAGAATATACTAAAAAGTAGGTAACATAAATATATAAAGTTTTATACCAATAATTTTTAGAAAAATGCCACATTATATTTGTGATCGCCTCCATTGAAGGGTTTTCATAAAATGGATCATCCTTTTTTACTAGATTTATAATACGAATAAAAGGGCTATAATCCTCATTTTTAATGGATGAAGATTTCCCAGGCAGAAAAAGCTTAGTAATAATCTTCTTGAACTTGCTTGGAGTCGATTGATTTTCTTTGTTCGTTGTAAAATCAATAAAAGGTATCATTTTAATATGAGGAATTTCATCATCGCTATATAAATTTTAAAAATAAAAATAAATATGTACTATTTTTTACTCATTTTAAATAACATTAAAATATTACCTGATATTTATAAGATTTAAATCGGTATCACGAGGAATGAGTTGCGTTATGGGAATAAAAACTTTTAAAGAATCTTCGGAATGTTTCTTAATCTCATGAAACTTAAAACTAGAAAAGTCTAACTCTTTGTTGCCAAAACAAGGCTTGAATAAAAACTCTTGGATGTACAACCCTGAATTATGTTAATCAAATTAAGACAAACTGCTTGATAATTTGAAATTCGGCAAATGTTAATAACAAACCATATTTCCTTTCGTACAATTCTGATATGATTTCGGACACCGAGTTCATCCATCCAATGTTATCCATAGCATTGTTGGAATAATATTCTAGGAAAAGTGCAAGCATTGTTACGTCGATATTCGATTCTGAACATAGTATGAATGTTTAGAAAAAATATTCATTACATGTACGTAGATATTTAAAATCTCTGAATAACTAACCTTTGTCAAGCAAAATATGTTTTAATGGAACTTGCCACGAGTGGAGAGGACGTTCTTCATCTTTGTTAAGAGCTTTTGAAGAATGTCTAGAAATAATATTTTCTAATTTAGTTTTGATTTCACTTTCGTTATTATTTAAGACCATAGAAAGGATTTGTGAAATATATTTTTCGGAAGCATTTTTTTTGTTAAATAGAATACGAGCTATAAGTGAAAAATCTCTTATATTAATAAATTCTGTCATTAGCCTATAACGAAAATCTATTAACCTCCAAAGATTCGAATATAAAGTAATAAATCTTGTAATAATATTTCGTGTTTGATGTACTATTTCATTAAATATTGAACGCTTGACGTCAAAAGCAATATTAACGGATTTGCTTTGACTATCAAAATATACAAGGGCCTTAATTGCATCCCTTACTATTTGGATAATATCATCTTCATGTTCTATTTTTATTTGAATTTCTTTTCCTTCTTCTAAACTAATTAAAAGATCAAATTTTTGTAGAGCATATCTAATTTTAGTAACTTGGAACTTTTCATGAGGTTCTTCAGGTGCTTTCGGGTCATCATTAACGATGCGAATGAATTCAAGTTTTTTGCCACGCCAAACTTGTATACTATTGTATCCTATGAGAAGTCTCGTTTGTTTTTCTACATCAAGGTAGATAACATATCTTGGAAATTGAAGCCGCTGTTTACCATCAGTAATAAGTTTTTTTTCTGTCGGATGAATAGCCCATGGTTCTATCATCAGATAGTATTTCGAAAGATCCGAATAATTCAATTCCGATAATAGAAACCTATCATTATTATCATATTCACTAATGCCATAAGCATAAGGAACTATGTCATTATCACTAATGCCATAAGCATAAGGAGTTATGTCATCGATGATACATTTAGAAGGATCTAGTTCTTTCCAATCTGAATTAAGGCCTGATTCTTTCAAATGTTTATTCAGATTCAATTTATCCCAAACAATTTGATTTATATCAAAAAATGGTCTTATATTAAGGATTATAAAAGGTTCATTTTCTAATATAGGTTCAATAACTATTCTTGTCATACGCTTAGCCAAACATGAATATATATCTTTTTCAAAAGGTATAAATTCAATAAATCCTCTGACAGAATTAAAAATATCCCAGACTGCTACCGTTCTGTTTTTTTTGAATATTAATAACTTTTCATTATTAAAGACAAATCTCATAAATTCAACATTATGCATGCCACCTTTTTTACATGATAAAGATGATAATTCTAGACCATTTTCTATCAAATAAATTTTAATTTCATTTCCAGATACGTACGCTAATAGCTTTTCATCATTAGATATCGCAAAAGCCCCAGGTTTTTCACGATCCAAGATTGATAAACCAATTTTATATCTTTTAAAAACATTCATTAATTGATTAGTTCTTAAATCGTAAAGTTCTATATTTTTGTTTGGATCCCTCTCGGATGTGTCTACCAATAAGTAATGACTGCTTAAGCATCTCAAAAGATATTTTCGTATTATCTCACTTGATGGTATTATCGTGTGTTTAATAATTGAGTCACTACAATTATAACTTAAAGCATTAATTATCCTTTCCGGATAATTTAATACTAAAATCTCATGTTGGAATTTCTTGGAAACTAATGAATACAATAAACGATGTTTATATATTCCATTTCCTTTTAACAAAATAAGTATGAATTCATCGGCTTCAGAAAGAAGATGGATTATTCCACCACTTTCTATTTCTATATTACACCTCTTTATATCAAAGTCATTTTCGATCATCCATATTTTGGTAAAACCACATCTATTTGAACCTGACAGATTTTGCATATCGTCTTGGCCTATGCAAGATATAGCGATCAATCTAAATTTTTCTTGATGTACATTTGACACAGTGACAGACCAATTTAAAAAATGACTCGATCTCATCATTTCTTGGTCTTCAATATCGGTAAATGTAAATGATTCAGAATGTCCTTCAGATAATTCCTTCTTTTTTGTATCTTCATTAGTTATAATTTTATACATTCGTAAATCGAATAAATCATCATTATTTGCTAAAAACAAAATTCAAAATTATTAAATTTAATTAAATTAAACTTCTACAACGTATTAAAGCTGTGTTCGTTAACCAGAAACATACTATCAAAGATAACTATAAATGAATCATCCTGACTAACTGCCGCATATTTTGTAAATAATTCCGATTCTTTTATTAAATAATTTTTATCAGCTGGAATTGGTATTTCAATTGGTATTCCAATATGACTCTTATTTTTATCCATCATTTACAATTTACGATTCTTCAACTATTAACTGTAAATAATTAACTATAGTGGTAGAAAATAAGAATTAAATGATTTTTTTATTTAAACCTTTTCATTATTTACGTTGGTTTTGGTGGCTAAGTCTAGAAACCTATATACATCATCCATTATTTATGAAAGTTTCTTATGTTGATTAAATATTTATCTTTTATGCAACATATTGTAAATGAGTGATGGAAGCGGAAACCTGTAAATCTGATTCACTAACTTTCATCGTGCTGAACTATGGCAAAAAAAAAAAAAGGGTTAAACAGTTTTTATACGTTTTTTATTGGTTTAAAAAAAAAAAGTTTTCAAACATCAGCGTCAGATAGTAAAATTTAGTCGAACCTAAAATTTCGTCTTTGATTAGTTAATTTTAGTTTCAGATAACTTGATTAATAGTTAACATTAATGTTGGTCGATAAGCTAAAAAATGTGTATTCTTTTTTATGATTCTCGAATTTTTATAAATACTGTAGTACATGTAATAAATATATATATATATATATATATATTTGCTCATTTTAATTTATCGATGTTAAAATTATTGTGGTAGCTAAGGTTGTGACCCTAATTTATATTACGCCTAGAAATCTCAATATTTTAGCATGCAAAATTGGAGTTGGGACTCAAATAAGGATAAGATTGTATTTGACTTATGAACTTCGTAGTCAAATTTAGCTTTGGACCGTAATCATTAAAATATCTATTATGTTTTTTTTTAAAAAAAAAGAGATTGTTATAGTAGGAGAGCTTTATTATGTTAATAAGAATGGTATTGCGGCTTGGGAAGAGACTTACGATCTTCGTTGCTAATTAGGTATAAGCCGTAAACATTGGGATACGTATTAAGCATTTGAACAAAGAAATGGAAATTCATTTTGTCAAAGCAGGTTATTTTTTCTCATTAAAGAAAGTGTATGTTCTGGTATAAACCTGATTTAAGTCAAATAATTCATTACAATAATGAGGTAAAGGAAACGATGGAAAAATACACTAATCATAAGGTTTTCTAATAATACCACTGATTTTAATATTTACAATTCATGGGTTCATAACGATAGTTTAAAAAAAATCCTATTGAGCTATGACTATGTAAAGACCATTTAAGCATTAGCCTAGTTATATAAGCTTAACCCAAGAGGATGTAAACAGATGTGAATTAGATATAATATACCACATCACTTGCCATTAACCATACTCTTTGTTGCACTCTATTTCACCCTGAAATTAAACAAGCCAATCAGTCCGTTTCATCTTTGAGATTTCAATAAATCATGTGACTACAAACTAACCAACCAATAATAATGGAGATTTTTTGAGAGGTTATATAATGTTTGTTTAATCCCGCTGCGCTTAAGCTTCGAAAGGAACGTTAAACGAAATTATAGCTTCAAATCGCCTAATCAATCCATTTGATCTTTAAGAGTTTGTCAATCTTTGAACCTGGATATACTTGATTAAAAATCAAAAAATTTTTGAATTAAATTTAGAGTTGTTAATAAAAGGTTTTAGTAGGTTTTATAGATCTAAATAGACCCCAAAATTTCAGCTTCGGTCAATTTCAGCTTTAGTCTTCACAATTATTGTGTTAGGATTAGATAGTAGTGTTAGGATATTTCTAAATGCACAGCTTACTTATTAGCCAAGTAATGTTATATTTGCGTTATGCAAATCTCTTGAATAGATTTATGAATGAATTAAACCAAACATTAATTGTAAAAGAAATGCCAGGCGAATAAAAACCTATCCAAATGGCCTTTAAATCGATCAATTAATCAATTCACAATAATTCATATTTGATGATGCTGTTTGGCCATGTTATCAATTTCAGTAATTTTCGTAAAGTTTCTTTTAAAGAGGCCATCCGTGTGACATTATTAAAGTTTTTTTTTACTTTTTAATCTTAGCAATAAATGACTACAAATTTGAATTATGTATTTTGGATCATGATTATATCAGAATGTATTTAACCCATTTTTTAACAGGTTTAAATCAAACAATCATGATCTTTAAGATCGTATTTAAACATTTGTCATCCCAGGTTATATAGAGGGATGATATCACCGCAGGTGAAAATTAGTTAAAATCTTTTATAAAATATTGGATGTTTTGCTGTCCGGTAGTGTAGTTTTTTTTGAAAACACGTATTTTATATAAATAATGGGGAAAGCTGCAGATAATATTTACATTATTTATAGTAGATTAAGTATTTGAAACATTTATTAAAAATTTTGAATGCCGGATGTGACGTACCGAGTATTTTTAAGAAGCTGTAAATCCGCATAGATTTTTTTTTGTTAATAAAAAATGGCAATAATTTTAAATATAATAATTGTGACTTAGAATAACATTGATTAAAAATGCATAACAGATTGCATCTAATATATTAATAATGATCTAACATTAACATGATTAATAAACCAATAAGATTCCTATTAGTCATGAGATTTTGAAATGGATTCAAAAAATTGTCAATTTATTTATTATAAATCTAAACCCAAATGATGATAAATTGTCAACATTCTGATTTTGAAATTATAATCATAGCCTAATGATCCATCTAAATCCATAATTGCTTCTTTATGCCTTTTTAATGAAAAATAGATCATTCCTCGAACTCTCAAAGCAATTTCTTTCAAAGTTAATTCTTTCAAAGTATTCGAAGTATATTCTTCTTCCAAAGTATTCGAAGTATATTCTTCCAAAGTATTCAAAGTATATTCATTCTCTGGTTCGATGCTTAATGCTTTGTTTAAATCTTTAAGTGCGTCTTCAAATCTCCCTTGTGTTCTGTAAACATCTCCACGATATATTAATGCCCATATTGTCGATTCATCATTTATATCTACACTTAATATACTATCTAAATCTTTAAGTGCATCTTCATATTTGTCTAAAACTCCGTAGGTTCTACCTCGAATTGCCAATGCATATCTAAAGTGTGGCTCTTGTTCTAATGCTTGATTTAAATCATTAATCGCTTCTTCATATTTACCCATCAACCTATATATATTTCCGCGACTTGCTATATGATATGGAGATGATTTGATTTCTAATAATTTATTGTAATCTGAAATCGAGTCTTCATATCTCTTCGCCAATCTATAAATTTCAGAACGTGATTCTAATGAAAACCAATGCTTTGGATTGATTTGTAATGCTTTATCTAAATCTTTAAGTGCTTTATCATATTTTTTCAATTTCTGATATAAGATAGCTCGACATCTTAACGTAAATACATCATTTGGCTCAATTTCTAATGATTTATCAAAATCTGTCATTGCCTCTTTATATTTTTCTTGTTTTTGAAAAATGTCTCCACGACGACTCAACGCAAATGTATTATCTGGTTCGATTTCTATTGATTTATTTAACTCTTTAAGCGCCTCTTCATAATCCCCCCACATTCTATAAATACCTCCACGAAATCCTATCGTATCATAACTGCTTGAATCAATATCAATTTCTAAGACTTTATTTAAATCTACAAACGCTTCATTATATTTTACTCTCCTAAAATTAACTTCCCCACGAACTTCTAATACATAAAGATTATCTGGATCAATTTCTAAAGCTTTATTTAAGTATTCAAGCGCATCATCATATTTCCCTCTCTTCAAACAAATTTCTCCACGAACTCCTAACGCATAAGAGTTACTTGGATCAATTTCTAAGGCTTTATTTATATCTTTAAGTGCTTCATCATACTTGTTCTGCTTCGTATAAACCCCACTACGAACCCATAAAGTATGTACATTATTAGGTTCAATTTCTATTGATTTATTTAAATCGTCAATTACTTCCCGCCTTTTCAATAACTTGTAAATATCACCCCTCGTTCTGACTGATTGTGCCTTATTTGGATCGTTACTCATTATTATGAAATATTATTACTTTCTTGAAGAAAAATTTCTCAACCAAAATAGATTTTGTGTAAAATATATGAAAATAATGAGATTGTAATATTATAATCACATTTAGACAGCTTATCGCTATTCATCAGGCAAGTTGAGCATTTTTGAGAGTACAATGGTGCGAACACTGCCACCTATAAACGCCTTGTAGATCTCCCACAAATAAATCCCCCTAGCGTGACCTAACAATAAAAATCACGAGGGGGATTTTTGTGAGAGAGCACCTATACGTCTAAGCCACATGAATTAATTGAGTGTGCTGATCGTCTTTGGCAGATTCTTTATAAATTATCGTTATTGGAGCCGGTTTTTTTCATATGTTAAACCCGGTTTGATCAGTTTTAACACATGAAAAATAAAGCCGGTTCCAAACCCTAATAAAGGTATTACCTATTTAACACCTGTAATCTCATCACTAATTTGCTACTTTTTTAAATTATATAATCAAAAGTTGTTAACTGCTTACAGTATAATGATAACGATAACGATAACGATAATAACAACATTTAATAAAAATTAATCCGGCAAAGAGACCGTTTAAAAAATATAACTTATATATCTTAATAATATACGTTAAAACCTCATTTTAAAAGTTTTGTTTTTAGTTAAATACTAGGTCTGTGCTTCTATCTGCAACTTCATCTTTCCCGAAGCTTAACCTATGTCACAAAAAAGTATCAGTCCAGTTGTTTCTAGACCAGAGAAAAAGGTTATCGTTATTTGGATAGTTCTAATTTAAGCCTGCATGGATTGGAGATCACAAAGCTGACGCTTTTTGTGAGATAGAGTTTAACGTTTTGCCAAAATTTTAACATTTCGTGATGTTTCGCCAAGAGGATTCGAAATTTTGCTTTTTTTGGGCTTAGGTTAGTCTTTCGCCATTCTGGAAATAGGCTTCTTCTGACAACAGTATTCAACCCACTATATATTCGCTCTCGCACTTTCCTCTATAAGTGCATTAATATATTTTATTTAGAATACCCCATCATGCATTATAGTTAGGTTCCTATATAAAGTGCATGCTTCCATGGTGCACAGACAGATGCATTTATCGAGTTCACTGCCTATACTTAATCCTGAGTTGAAAAGGTTTTGAGCTAGTGACCCAGTTTATTAAATAATTTAAATAATTTAAATAATTACAGTAAATGTAAGAAACCTGCTAATAATAAATTTCATCTTGAGAATTAATGATATTTATTATCTTATTATGATAAATGCTATTTATTATCTAATTTATTAGCTATAATAATGCTATAATATTGCAATTTTAGCACCTAATTAAAAGCTAAAATTTTGCTACTTAAAATATCTAACGTTAATAAATGAATAATAATGCTATAATAGGGGTTTCAAAGTTAACAAATAAGCGGTGCATTTGAAATTAAAGGAAAGTTTGAAAAATCTTATTTGTTTTTCAAGATTTTAAAATCGGAAAAATGAAATGGGAGCGTTTGGAGATCCCCATTTCATGAAATCGGAAAATTTTTATAATAATTTGTAAAAAAATAAATAAATAAAAAGTAAAACTTTCGTTCAAATTGAAGATCAGATTGCCGGATCACTTATTTCAAAATAAATACGTTATCAATTTCAATTAAAATTAGATTTCCGCGTTTTTAACTTTGAAACCCCCTAATGTTGCTAAATTTAATTCCTACCTATCGATTTACATTTTAATTACAAAATCTATTTTTACTCTAATCTGACTTTAAACTTCATGATAAATTACCACGAAGCCTAAAGTAAGATCGGATGCCTGTTAGATTTATATATTTACTAAAAATAAAATTTGTATTCAATGATCCAAAAACTTGAAACTCAAATTTTTGTTTGATTTTTGCCGTTTAATAAGTAGATTTTTGTAAAGTAATTTTTATTTAATAAGATAAAATTATTACAGATTGTGTTTTATAATAAAGAGTGTCTGCAGAACGCTGCAATGTCATTATTTCAAAAAATTCTATCGTCCAATCCTCAGTGATCAACAGATTGGAGCCTTTTATAACGAGTACATTAGAAGTACTAATCCCAGGCAATGTGCCAAAACATTTCAAGTCAAATTGTAATTCAAAATCAGAATCTGCAGCGCAATTACTATAATGTGCGATAATTTTGCTAGGTTTCACATCAAGCCCTAACACTATTATTTGTTCAACATGAACAGAATTAGTTGACTTAGCATATATATTTTTATCATTATCAATTAATGACAATGATGTAGACGCCAACTTTCCAGCAGTGAATACAAATTGACGATAGACAAAATATCCTTTCTCATAATCATAAGTTTCACCATCATCTAGATATAACGAGCCGATTGCTTCGTTCTTAAAAAGAAAAAAAAAACATTAGCATTGGGACAAGTGAAAGTATCAATATATCACTTACATTTTCATTTAATGCAATCACTAATGTAAAAGGATCTAAATGCATAGCTGAAGAGCAATTTCTAATTTTCTGTCGCTTTGGAATAATAGATCCACCGCGTAAAAAGACTGGAATCTTGTTCAAGGGGGCTTTAATTTGAACTTTAATAGATCCACGAATTTTTTCAAATGTAAAATAATCATAATATATCTGGAAGATTATGTAGCGGCGAATTAGTATTCAAATTCAAACTTTCAAATTTATGAAAATATATCTCACCTCGTTTCCTGAAAAATAGACTTCAGTAGATATTTGACCTTCCTCTACAATAGGCTTGACAAGTAACGAATTTCCGATAAAGAATTGATCGTCCATTTCGTAAACTTTTTCATCGTCAGGATAGACTACAAACATAGGCCTGATACAAAATGAAGTTAACGGAGATTGAAAATTGTTATTTATTAATTAGATATTATGTACCTTATTATTGGCATTCCAGTGGTACTAGCTTCATAGAATAAAGTATGCCATAAGGGCAACAACGAATATCTTTCCTTTATTATATCACGAATATAACTCGTATATGGATCACCGAATAACCATGGTTCACGCCTTTTTGTATCTCTATGAGCGTGCGCACGAAAGAAGGGTTGAAAAGCTCCTGCTTGATACCATCGAACCAGGAGCTCAGGCTTTGGATCACCTGCAAATCCACCGACATCAGCTAAAACGACATATTAGTAGAGATTTATAAATGTTTTCAAAGTTTTTTCTTTATGCAAGTTATTCGTTAAATACCTCCAGAAAATGGTAACCCAGAAATACCGATAGTCAATAACATAGGAGTTGATATGGCTAAATAATCCCAACTTGCAACATTGTCACCCGTCCAAATAGGGCCATATCGTTGTGAACCTACAAAAAATGCTCGGGAGAGCACGAAAGGTCGACGTGGTGATTCAGTGCGATTTATAAGTCCTTGAGCAGTTGCTCTATGCTACAGTGATTTAATGACGTTTAATAATCTAATTTAAAAAATTATAAGAAGCGAAATTCACAGAACTCACATAAGCAAAACCATAAATATTATGCAAGTCACGATGTTCCCAACCTCCATGATGAATAAGATTTTTTGGCATTGTAAGTTCAGGGCTATTGAATACTGACGGCTTTGATTTATGCAGTTAATTTTAATTATTATATGAGCTATTAAAATTTAGATGCACGATTAAGAAATGATACCTCATTCATATCATTCCATGTGAATAAAGCTTCTGTCGATCCCTTTACGTGGTATAAAAAAAATATATTATCATATATGATATTTTAAATATTAAATATAGGATTGTACACTTAATTCGGACAAATAGTAATCAGGTTTGACATTAAACATCAAAAAGTATCTATTTTGAATGCTAAATGGACTTATCAATTAATGAGTTTATGCGTAATAGCAGATAGTTATTTTCTTGATGTATTATTTCCGAATTTATTCGCCAAACTTGTATTAAATAAATAAATTTACCTTATATTGATCAAATGCAAATTTTTTACTCCACCATTCTTGAGCCAAAGGATTAGTATAATCTATCCACGAAGAGCTACCTGTTTTTCATAATTAATAAATTAAATAAGTTTATAAATTTTGGAAAATACAATCGAAAAGATACACGCCTGGCCAGCATATCCCATGGTATACTAGACCATGAGGTTCTTTAACAAAAAGATCTAGATCGCTAGCTTCTTTGTATATATGATAACTTTCATCTCGTTTGACATGCGGATCAATGATCGTCACCATCTAACAAGAGTTTACAATTAAAAAATTACATCATACTAATGTTAAATATTTATATGCTTAAGTCATAAAAAAACAAACCTTTCGTCCTTTTATCATAAGATCTTTTTGCATTTTTTCAGGGTCAGGAAATTTATCAAAGTCCCATGTAAAATATTTTTTCCCATCAGTATGTTCAATATCTAACCATAAAACATCATAGGGAATATCATGATTGTCAAATCCTTCGTCTACTTCAGTGACATCTTTTTGATCGAGGTAATTCCAACGGCACTGATGATAGCTAATCGCAAAATATTGAGGCAGTGCTGTGAATCCAGTGAGCAATCCATATTGCCGGAAAATTTCGGAAGAAGTTTTGCCAAGAAAAGCGAATACATCGATGATGCCAGTCTCGGAAAACCAATGAGTGTTGGTCGAATTAATAGATTTACCGGAATTAAGTAAGCCGAATATATTATGCTAACAAAATATATATATATTAAATCCATTCCCTGTGTTTAATTCCCCACATAACTGTTAAAATAATGTTTAAAACCTTATTCTCTTTACTCTTAGTTATGTCAATCCATGTATCTGAGGAATTTAGCCATAAAATGGCCGCCGATGCACCTTTTCGATGCGCCATCATAAATGGAATAGATCCATAAAGTGGCATTGGGCTGTCTATTGTATATCCAAATACATCCAAATTATACAAACGATAAGGATCAGAATAAGCACCAATACCTCCTCTATAATATTATAAATAATGAGTTTCTTTAAAAAAAAACAATACTGAATTGTTATAGTCACTTGAACGTAGTATACCGTGTCTCTTTCAATGAAAACGATGACGCATGTTGAGGAATTCCGTATACATGACTAAATCCTGGAAATGAAATATCAAGTCCGATAGATCCTGGACCTGTTCATACAAAATCAATACAAATGGTCTAAGTCATATTACTTTTGACACAGATAATTTTATCAATTAAACTAAAATAATTGAAGATAGTTCAAGAGTTGACAATGGAATTAATGGAGTTCGTTGAAGTTCCGAATGGTGCTCAATAAACTACTATCCTTTTGTCTATGGCACCATTCGAAGTTCATTGCCAACCTAGGGGTAATTCGCCTTTGAAGTACAACATTCATAGTAAAGATGGCCAGAGGTTAATTTTATAATGATGAAATGCAATTAAGTTTTTGTTTTTACTATGTAATTTCTTTGTCTTTAGCAAAACTGTAGAGACAGTTATTTCGTGGTAATATCATATTATATTTACTGAAAATTCATTATATAAAAGTAATCTGTGCCAATTTACTACGATGTTTATACTGCTGTGATTTACCCCTTAAGACATTTGTAATGACCAAATGATTTATGACTACTGTAGTCACAAAGTATCAGCCAACACTGAATGGGTGACGGGACATGAAAACCTGTAAATAATTTCACTCACTATCATTGCAGTGATACCTACCTTTATAAAAATTAGGAACACATATCACTACGATGATAATGAATGAAATGTTCACTCATATATCAATGGAGCTGATCATTTTGATGACATACCATTCGGATTTGAGTTTAATTTGTCTCCGGAAGTTTCTACATTATGAACAGAACTTTCGCTACTACTTTGATTGAGAGGTTCTTTATTTTGTTCTTTTTCTCTTAAATGTTCGAAATTGAAGAAACCACGATCATTTAATATGATTGTAGGTATATCATCAATCAGAAATTCTACTCGAAATGGAGAATGGTAAATTGAAACTGTTTGATTTTTTTCTTTGCCAAAAGAAAAAGATGTTACTCCTGGTTTAGAATGGATTTGATTATATTCCAAAGTAGTTAATGGATCTTGAACAAGGGCCCAATCCTTTACTTTATCATACCGAGATTTTAAAGGATTCTTTTCATTAATTCGAATCCTTACTGCACCAATTTCCAGTATGTATAATTCGAAAATAAATTCTAAATTATTTTCAGAGCTAATAAGACACCCCGAAATTATACCATCTTTAATTATGATAGAATCACTAATCAATGAATAGGGAGATACAAATAATGGATTTGCAGATGCCTTATCTGCATAAGCTCTATTGCGCCGACAAAAGGGGCTTAGTTCGTAGGTTTTGGAACTCTGTTTCGTTTCAAAAAACGACTTGAAGAAGTCTACAGTATTAGAAAAGAAATTCGTTAAATAAGCATTTTCCATTATTTAATTTTATTAGCAATTACAAAGATGGATTTGCGTTTGTGCCAGAGGCTTGTAAAAGGTTGATTTTTATATATAAACCTAAATCTGAAAATCATATCCAAATTTTTACAGGTCCCTAGTACGAAAATTATTAATGGTAGGAGGGACTACCGTTACTATGGCAGAATAGTTAAAAACCAGGTTAAACTCGATTTAACGTTAGGGGTAGTGATACAATCAAAAAAAGGATATCAAGAGATGCTGTAGTAACGGTAAGGGGATTATAAAATTGCATACGTATATAGCCAGACACATTTATGCAGCCAATTAGATAATATGTGGCCAGATCGTGTATAGATGTATATAAAACATGAATTAATTAATTAATTAATTAATCATTTCCCTAAAAAAGATTAGAGAAAAAGAACAGAATTTTATATCAGTCAGACGGGAAATATCACATTATAACGAATATGACACACATGTCTGTAATGTGACCCTGACATAGCAACAAAGGATGAATTGGTAGAAATGAGGATATTGATTGCATAAAAGCGTCCAACTTGGAGTTTTTGCATGTGTTAAAATGATTGAATGGATTCCGTTTGATGATATTGAAGAAGATTTGGTTCTTTATTTCTGCGATCTGATCAAAATTTTGATGGCAATGGGTTTAATTATGTAAAAGCATTACAACTGCTAAACGCATTAGATGATAAAAAAGTAATGGCAAAAGTTTCATACATAAATTATTTTTAAGTCAAAATAGCCTAAATTAACACCTACTATACTCACAGGTTGTTTTTTTTTTGTTAAATTATTCATAAATATTTGCTACTTGGTTTATGAATATAAAAAACATTATAACCTAAATACTGAGAACCCTTTAAATTCACCCTCTCTAATGCGTAATCAAATTCTGGCAAATATATACTTGACCTTCATAATGCACTCTTTGTATTGTTCTTTAAATCACGTAGTTAAAGTTTTGTTCTTCTAGGGTACATTTGAGAAGTTAAACTATATTTAAATTATGTTATTCAAATTCTTTATTTATTCGCATTAACGCAGAAAGTAAGTATAAAGAGGATTTATCATTTAAAATAAAAAAATCACGGCCATATATAACATCAAATATCAACCAATACAATAAATTCACAAAATACACATGCAAAAGTAAACGCGATGCAGCCACCCTTTTTATTGCTTTATATAGAAATGCGTAGTTTTAATAAAAACAAATACAACTATTTTCGATTATCGCGAAACCTGTAATCGAGTAAAGATAGAAATAATAAATGTAAAGCCAGCAATCAAAAAAATATTTTGTAATATAACGTACCACAATTTCTTCAACATCAGTAACATGCCTTGTATTATTGTTTATATCCCATCAACATACAATCATTTTAATGTTTGTGAAATCAAGATCATGCCAAGTGTATAAGACTCAAAGGTCCTTCTGCAGTTGAGACATAACATTACGGCGGATTTGTCAAATTTAACTGATTTTTGGTCCCCAATTTTAAGTTTTGGGGACAAATTTAATATTAATT